TTCAAACCTGGCTCCCTAGTGCCTGCAAGTTGGGTATGCTTAAGGAGCCTAATGATAAAGAATGAAACAGAGAAGGAAGAATAGTCTTAACCTCAATCCAAAATGATGTTTTGTGCCATATTTTCTACTATATCTTACATCTCTGGTCAAGTCACTAGGAATGCATTGCCTCTTCTGAGAAAGCCAGACCAGAGAAGTGGCATGCACAAGTTTCAAGAGGACACACAAGTTCAGAGGCAAGCCACGGGGTTTCCAAAAAGCCAGGAAATTCAGGACAGTCTGCAGACGGAGGTGAAGATTTCCATTGCCAGCTACTGGTTTTGGAGAAGTTCCCTTCCCAGCAATCATGTAAAAAACCTCCCTTCTACAAAGCGCAGATGGCAGCAACCAGAATCCTGAGAAAACAATTATCTTACTGGATTAGAGTGTTTTATTTATGCAGTGTGTCACTTCTGTAAGAAAAACTGGTATCTTACAAGTTTTGCTATTAGAGCTTTACACTGAGCTTCTTACTGTAATTCTAGTAAGGTTTAGGATGTGAAGAAGCAGTAAACTGAACAGAGCTCAATCATGCCTGTACCTCAGATGCTGGAGGCCAAGTCAATGTGACCCAAGGACAAGCACAGGCAGGGCTGCAACACCCGTGAGGTTGCAGCTCAGGCAGGGGCCAGATGCAAGAGCCTCAGTCTACAAGCATCTAGTGAGGAAAGGTTGGGGAGCCCTGCTAGGGTTCCTTCTCTTGAGAAGCTCCCAGGCTGGCCAAGGCACCTTTGAGCACACAGCTGAACTCCTAGAGGCAGGAGGTGTGCTCCTGCTGTGACACAGGCCAGAGCCCACTGCTGTATTACACCCTCACCCACAGAAAAGTGTGATACAATACAGTAAAAGGATTTACTGTTGCAGGAAGACTTCATCTAAATATTAGCCTTATTTTTCTTGAGTTACCTAAACCAGCTTGACCTCATTCTGTGGTGGCACTAGCTGTGCAGGGGAAATGTTTATTCCTTCCACCCCATCTCACCTCTGCCTCTTGCCTTCCATTATTGTCCTCATGATATCTCTTCAGTCTGCCTTAGGCTAAAAGCAGTGACCTCTACCACTACCTCTAAAAAGATCTAAGAATAATAATTTAGCACTACTACATCCTCACTATCACTCTGCATATATTTTTCTATCTGTTTCTTACATTGAAAGCAGACTTTTCCACCTTATGTGGTGGGGCTGAACTGCCTGTACTGCAGCATGCATGAAAGGCCAGCAGACAGACATATCCCCAGGTTGCTGGCCTCAGGCAAGCAGCTTGTGCAGTGCAGGTGCCACTGTCCTCACCCACAATTTCTGCTGGGGACAGACACATGAGCAGCTTACACACATACTTAGACATCACACAGCACAGCATGCACCACCCTGAATGTGCCTTGGGGCTGTATCCAGCCCTGATCAGACACACCTCTCCAGCAGGGTTTACTACCATACCTGTCTCACAATGCAAAGATTAACTCAGGTTATAAATCTCCGAGCACAGGAACTGAGGCATTATTTCCGACATACTACAAAGATGGTGAATGGCATCATATTGTCCAACTATGTAATGGTATGAAATACCCCAAAACCTCCCTGGGTGGTGTCTGTTCCTTGTTAAAACACTCATCATGTGTTTACACTCCACACACTTCTCTTTGCATGCAGGTGAAATAGAAATTTGGAAATGAGAACAAGTGGTTACAAACTGAACCAAATATCTACTTTCGTTTATCTACTGATTTATTAATTTATTTATTTTTTATTTGTTGCCACCATCCTGAACTGCAGTACACTTCTCTGGAATCTATTCAAAAGCCCATTATCACATCTTGCCACACACCAGTTTATAGGGGTTAATAATAATAATAGGGATAATTGTAGGGGGCCTACAAGAAATCTGGAGAGGGACTTCTTAAAAGAGCATGTAGGGATAGGAAAAACGGAAATGGCTTTAAACTGGCAGAGGGAATTAGATATTAGGAAGAAATTCTTCCCTGTGAGGGTGGTGAGACACTGAAACAGTCCAGAAAAGCTGTGGCTGCCCCATCCCTGGCAGTGTTCAAGGCCAGGTTGATGGGGCTTTGAGCAACCTTGTCTAGTGGGAGGCATCCCTGCCCATGGCAGGGGCGCTAGAACTAGATGATCTTTAAGCTCCCTTCCAACCCAAACTGTTCTATGATTCCACAGTTCTATGATATAACACAAACTGCTGTGAATCCCAGGCATTTAGTACATTATGTGCTTTTACTCTATGTGCTTCCCTAAAATGGACATCTGCAGAAACTTAGGTTTTACCTATTTCTGCCAAGGACTTTACATAAATTTCCAGTAATGCAGTGCTTAGAATTCCTTATAGATTCAAACCAGAGTTAAATGCCTTAACTAACCACTAAATATATAACAGCACAATGAAAAACAAATACAGTGATGAATGTGTTATTTTAGATCTAGCAACAACAACCCAGACTGCCATGATCCTGCTGACTGTATGCTGCAAAAAAGTCCCAAGATGCTGACTTTAAGGAAAAACAGACAAACCACATTTATCATTCACTTGGACTCCACCAACCCCCAGGATTACATGATAGACATGTTTGCACTCGCCTGTGGGAACATGCTGTAGCTGTAATTGTTGCCCCGCTGGTAATCTTAGTTCTATTATGTACTTCCTTTTCTCCCGCTTTTCCCATATAATTAGAGTCTTTTATCAATCACATTTAACATTTGTCCTATTTTTTCCTTCTCTAAAAGAGATTTTCAGTATGGAGTCCTCATGAAATGCAGATTGTAGCAACCATGACACTTCATGTGCCCAGCACATCAACTGAACTACTGCTGCATCCCTCACACAACAATGCGACAACTACTATACAGATACTTAATATCACGGCCTACAAGACCTGCAGAAAGGAAAACCTGAATTCAAATAATGGCACATATCTAATGAAACCACAAGAGGTTCTATGAATCAAGCCCTGATCCCAGTAGGAGATCCTAAGCCATAGGAAATGCCTCTATTAAATGCTCACTGCAGCTTCAGTTATGTTGCAGTATCCGTTTATGCTGCTCCTCAACTTATTTTACATGCTACTTATTCAGAGGTAGAGCAGAATCACAGTATTTTAATAATGGATGTGGAAAACACTTCTTATTAAAAAGCCAGCAACTTTAACCACACTGCAGGAATAACTGAAGTATTTCACACTAACACTCCAGTAGAAGTACAGGCAGAACAATAGATAACTAAAGGGAATGTATGATTTCATTTACACCTTCCTTATTTCAGAACTATATTCAGGTATCACTGACATTTACACTCAACAAAATATTTGGTCATTTCACCTCAGTGGCTACAAGGTTCCTGTATTGCAAAACTTTCTCTGCTGTTTCCTTTGCAGCCTTTTCTTTGTGTTTTCACTCAAAGACTCCTTTGCAGGAAAGCAAAGCATTAGCCATCCTGCCCACCAGCAGGAGCACCACTATACAAGATGGCACAGAAGTTTGTCAGGAAGCCCTATAACCAAACAGTGTATTACTAACAGTCCTACAGAGCTTTCTAGAGCTCACACAGCAATCATGATTGGTAGCTTGCCTTAAAATTGCTGAATTTGTATTGGTCTCTGGACTCTTGGCAATAAAACACCTTCACGAAATAAAGTTTTTACTTTATGGAAGATTAAGCTAAGGATTTATTTGACTGTTTTGTCTTTATTGCTCAAGTCCAGCTCACACTTAGGCGAAACAGGAGAATTTTCCTGATTGTAACTCCTCTTCCCTCTGTTTTCTCACTTAAATGGCACCTTTCTTCACACCAGAACCTTACTAAAATTTGCTTTGTAACTCTAGCTTGGCTGTCGTCCTTGATTACAAGCAGGCATGAATGTTTTAGTTTCCCAACATTTGCCTGAGTTGGCACTGCACAGACTGCTGAGACATATTTACACTAATTTTTACTTGCAGAGTCCACTGCTGATGATATACATTGACTCAAGCTGCCTTAGGGAAAAAAACAAAAGACAGAGAGAGGGAATATGACAGGCAGAAGGGGAACTCTCCACAGCTATCAGAAGGAAGTAGAATTGTTTAGGTTGGAAAAGACCTTGAACATCAACAAATCCAACAACACTGCCAACCCCATCAAAATAACCTATGGGGTCACCAAACAACTCTCTCCAGATGCTCTCTGTAGTGCAGATGGAGATGGTGTTAAGAATTATAGCTGTTACAATGCTTCCTAGTAATAGATATTTCACTATGGACCTACCCATACCCCCAACTCAGGTGAGACCAGCCCTAGCTTGGAGTCCTCACGAACATCCCGACTGCTAAACCTCATGTGTGATTATTACCAGGTAATCACTTAAACCCTTACGTACTATTTTAGAAGCTTTTTCAGGGTAGAAAAGGGGGAGGAGGAGCGTGAAGAGATGAACCTCACAGTAGAGAAACCCACCACAAAACCACTGCACTGGAGCCGGTGCGTGAAATGCGCTGAGAGCAAGGTAAGAAGGCGGGAGCCCGCCCTGCACCGCTGGTACCTACGGGAGGATCTCGTCCTCCCCCGTCACGACCGTTGAATCCCCACGCTCGCGGGACACCAGCGCTAAGCCAATGGCCGCCTCTCGCGCATGACGCCTGCGCACGAAAAGCCCCACCCCCGCGTCTCGCTCCCAGCCAATGAGCAGCCGCCGCACTGTGGGCCTCACGGGGAGGGGGCGGGGCCTCTGTGCGGGCGGGACGGGGAAAGTGAAAGGCGGTCGGGGAGCGCGTGACGCGCGGGAAACGCTGTCCCGGGGTGGCGGGGCGGACCACGTCACCCTCCTGGCCGGTCGGGGCGGGGCCAGCAGGAGGCAGCTGCGCTCACGTGACGTTGGGGGGGGCGGGACGGAGCGGAGGCGCTCAGAGGGTGCGCGGAGGCAGCGGGAGGGGAGCTGAGCGGAGGGAAAGCGCCGACGAGAGGAGAGGCAACGCGACACCTTCTTTGGCCTTACGGCTGCCGCCATGGGCCGGACACCCGCGCTGCCTCTCGCCGCGCTGTGCCTGGCCTGCCTCTGCGGGCTGACCTCGGGGGACGTCCAGAGCGGCCGCGTGCGCGCGCCTGGTGTAGGGAACGCCGAGACCGTTGGTGAGTGCCAGGTGACCCCTCGCCACCCCCCACCACCCCAGCAGGAGTTGCTGACGGGGCAGCCCCTCCCCCTCCCGCGCCCCGCCCGTTGCCTAGCGTTGTGGGGGGAGCGGAGCGGGCTCCGCGCACCGAGCTCTGCCGGGCGGCAGCACGGCCCTCCGCGCCCGCGGGGGCACAGGGAGCGCCCCGCCGTGCCGCTTTCCCGCCCGGTGGGTGTGAGGGGCAGCGGAGAGCGAGCCGCCCCGCTCTCCCTCATAGCTTGGCCGCCACCACCCGCGGCGCCTGGACCGCAGCCGCCGAGCTTTTACCCGCTTCTCTTCAGCTCTGTGCTCGCCTTTCCCCTCGCTGTGGAGGGTTTGTTTGCGCGCGGTGTGAAATCCATTAGCGCGGTTCGACATCACCTCAAGCATCCCTTTTGTAGGCAGCGAGCGGCTAGTAGCGGGTACATTTGTGTCCAGTACGATGTGTGCGGAGTGTTCGTTTCTTGCTAACTTAGTGCAGGTCAGGTTGCGGGAGTTACTTACGTAAGCAGTGGTGATGTGCCGTTGCCGCCCGTTGTCCCCAGGTTAGCCGCGTTACGCGCCCTGTTCTGTCTGGCTCTGTGAGCTGTTTGCTGAAGTGTTTGCGCGGCCAAGAACCGCAAAACGTGCCGCGTGCCCCAAAACGCTCAGGGGGGAGGTTGTTCAGGAGGTACTCCTGTGTTCTCTGCCCGCGGTGCATAATGGCGCTGGGCGCAGCTACGCTTGAATCTGTCCAGTAACCTCTCCTTCAGCCCTTCTAGACTTCCTCTTCACCCCAGCCACCGGCGACGTGATGTAAGCCGATATCGGGCGCCCTGTCGGAGCCGTGAGCTGCTTGAGGACTGCCGAGAGCCGGAGGTTAACAACCTCTCCTGTGCAGCGGGAGAGGGCAGTGTTGATTCAGCAGGACAGACTTCTGTTTAGTGTTTCCAGGTTTCCTCCTCAAGTGTAAGGGGAATATCCGAATTTACCCTTGTGTAAGAGTCAGGTTTATCTTGCGAACTAACGTGGGCTTGCCTGCACTTAAGAGCCGAGTTCGTGGTACTAGGGTAATTTCTTCAATGAAGAGCAGACATCTGCTGATGGTTAGAGATGGGAAGCTTGCTGTTATCCCATATGAAGACTCTCTTAAGAGCCTTTCGAAGCAGGCTTATTAGCACTGGGAGAACATCTGACAGTCTGCCACTGATTCTGAAGTTAACAGCTCGTTCTTGAAACCTTTTGTTGTGATAAAAAGGTCTCTCAGCCCCTTACTCTTGTAGATACGTTTCTCTAATCCGGGAAAGCTGTTTTGAAAGTAAACTAAACATCCTAGTGCACCTAGTATTAGCTGGCTGTGCTGACTCTACTGTCTCCACAGGCAGACTGTGCTAGATTTTCTTTGTACCAGTAAGGAACTTACAAAAAAGAACATTGTTTATTCATCAGAAGTGTGGTGCATGCTGTGATTGTTCCTCGGATGTATACCCAGAATAACAAATGACTTTTATGAAATCTGTTATCCTGAAACTGTCACAGCTCTTAAAGTGGTTTAAGTGCCTTCTTTCTGATGGGAACAAGCAAGTCTGTTTCATACCTCACTGATGCAAACTGACAAAGGTCTTTTCACATATTCTTGCATTTATTAAAAGTGAAGAAATAGTGCCAGGATTTCTAGCCTCACATTACCATAAACAAGAGAAAGGCCAGGTGGATTCAGAATTAACTCACATTACAAGAATCCTAAAGTTAGTTAACGTATGTGTAGTTGTTATCTTGAGATGTAAATTACCACGCTGTTTGCCAAAGATCTGTGAATAGCAGTGTTCCCTTCACTGGGGAGCAGAACTGAGAAAAGTGAAAGGTCACCCAAAGGTGCCTGGAGTAGGTGGATATGATGTGAAATGTGCTGGAGAGAGGAGTTGTGGGTTGTGTGTGGGTTTTCTGCATATTATAGCTGTATGAGTAAGTCTTAATTAAAACTACTGTGGTAAAATTGTAGATTGGGAGAAGATCTTACTTGATCGAGGTAGTGGATGTGTTGTGATTTTAAGGGAACAGTGTTTGGCTGAGGTTGATATATAAAAGCAGCTGTACTGGTTATGTTGCTGGCTTCTGCTGTGATCAAAATATGAATAATTGACTTTCTGCCCTTCTGTATATACATTTGTAGATGAAGTCCTCTAGGCTCTTGTCTTTATTTCCCGTACTGTAGGGCTATTTGTAGCTGGCTGTATTATTACCTAAAGGAAAAATGTAATCTAAAGGAGCAAAGCTCTTGCCATCTGAGGTTTCAGTGAACTTCTGCAAAATTAATTTGGACTTTGGTAATCTCCACTAGAGTAGTACCTCCTCTATTTGAGTTTATTGTGGTTAAAGGTTGTATCGGGCAAGATCTTGGTGTACATGTGGACTCGGGTTTGAGAGTATTGTAGTGTCTGAAGGGAAATGTGTTTTGTCAAATATATCTTTAAATTTTAGCTTTTGGTTGTGTGTAGTTCAGTGAGAAGGATTGTGCCTTAACACAGATGAACACAGGGGAAGATACAGATCTCAGAGTTGTTTCTGTGGGTGAAGATGCGCTTTGACAATAGCAATTTTGTCCCAATCAATGCATTTCTTGTCCTTTTTTCTTTCAGGTACCTGTGGAAACATCTCTAACTGCAATTTGTGTATTGGTGATGGCACAAGTGTAACAGGCTGCAAGTGGATAAATTGTGAAGGTAAGGAGGACTAAAGGGCGTAGAGCCTTCCTATGCCATGCAGAACCTTAAGCCAAGCTAGATGTACTATATTAATATTCATTTCACAAACTGTTCTGTTTGATAATTAATGGAGCATTAACTGCAAGGTTTATCTGTTGTTGAGCATGTCAAGGTGTTACATTGAGACAGCTGAACATATTCAAAATAATCCCAGATTTCTAAGGCTTTTAATTTATATCTGTGCTCTTGATAAGCTGATGCTTTCCAGATGGCTCATAATGTTTGTAGAACAAACTAGTCACTTGCGTTTGCTGTTAGGAGTCATGAGTGGGTTCTGATGTGCAGGGACATCATTGTGCTTCAGTCCTTTTTGAGGGACTACTCCCGAATTGAAGTGCAGTAAGGGAGAGGAGTCTATTAAACAAGATTATCTGAAGAGTTCCTGAAACTAAGAATCGTCAACCCACTAATGGGAACATGACAGAGCCAAGGAAGCATTAGCTGGTCTCATTCAGAGCCTTGTTTTTCCTCATTGTGGGAGAGTCGGATATAACTACATTTAGGTGGCCTCTGGTACTCAGGCCTGGAGATGAAGTTGCTGTTGACAAAGCCTTGCAGAGATTAGTTAAGTAGTGCTCGGATAGATTATTTGTACCTCTTACATGAGGTGGAAACAGTTTCTATGAAGACAGAATGGCTGTCTTCAACAATTTCAAGGTCAAGGATCTGTTTAAAAAGCCAGAACATAAGTTTTGCTTGCATGTAGAATTTAAGACAGTAAGGGTCTTTTTTGTGGTTGTTTTTTTTTTATAATGCTACCAGAATGCAAAATGTTCAAATTGGAAAATGTCACAAATAGTAGAAACACTTTCTAATTTTATAGGATATGAATAAAAAAAAACCCAAGCTATACAGTTACTGTAGAATGGTGCATAACCATGTATGAGTATTGCCTAAGTGTTGATTTGAGTGGTAAAGTAGCTGTAGTTTAAGAAAATACTCAAAAGTTTTCTAATTATTAATACAATACTGAAGTCCTGCATATTGAAGTGCCTTTATGTTGTCCTGGCTAGAAGATGGTGTTTAGTTTGTTGTATGAACTGTTTATTAGTATTTATGAACAATGTCTCAAACACTTTCAAGTTCTGCTGCTGTAAATATTCTTGGCTCTTTTCTGACAGGAAAAATAGGCATATGTGTAAACGAAACAGAAGCAGCTTCGAAGAATCAAAACTGTACTGCTGAAGACCAGTGTTCTTGTAAGTATTTAGACACTCGGTTTTCACATTGTTTAATGTGAAGCAGTTGTGTTTACAACTCCTTCGCCTGTTGACCTTTGTTAATGTGCCTTCCACAATTTACATAAGCGTGTACAAGTATGTAAATAAGCGTTTTGCTGCCAGCTTAAACCTGTGATATATGAAACTAAAATACACAGTTTTGTTGTACGTTCAGCTTACTGCTGCTGTTTCAAGAAGGCTGACATACTTTACTAGGCATATGTCTCTCTGGCTGCTGCCCTAGTTTCTCAAATTAAAATGGGTGGTGTTTTCTATTAGATATAGCACATCCTAAGGAGCTTCTCAGCATCCTCAAAACAGTCAGCTTTAATGGTCACAATAACTTTCACCTGCTAGGTCTGCTGCTTCGTCTGAGATGCAGAAATTAGGAAAAACGTATGGACCTTCCAGTTTTAATTGTTAACTAGCACAACGTTTCATGGAGTCCTGAAGTATAGAGTCTGGGTTATAGAACTGTGTAAGGTAAACCCTTGATGCTAGGAACATGTTCAGTTGAAAATGTACTTCAGTCTTTTCATCAATTTGTGCTTGCTGTGCAAAGCAGGTATGTGGGGTATGAGTAATTTGGATCAAATCTTGGCATTCACTGTCGTGAAAGCCCACCAATTTTAGTTTTGTTGAAAGCTGACAAGAAATGGACTTCAAAATAGGATTTTCTGTGTTTAAGATCTGGAACTGAAAAATCCTTAATACTCTAGAGGAGTTCAACCGTGCTGCTAAAGAGGTTGGCTTGCACCAACAGAGATGAGTAGCATCACCCCATGCTACTGTGGTGATGGTGGCAGTGGCAGCCAGTCAGATATGATTCCACTTGGACTTCCTGTGTTGTTTCTAAAATTGTAACAATCTCCTTTTAATCAGGAGTGTTAAAAGTACCATTTTTAAGTGCTTTGCAAAGACAGCATGGTGTTACAGTGCCTTGTTCTATATCTAAGAGTAGAATTTCTACAATCTGTTCCTGTTAAACTTGTAGTTATGTGTATCAGGTTGTTGTGTTTTAGTTTCTGGGTATTCAAGGAAACCTAATTGTCAACATCAGTAGAGGATCTTTGTTGGTGTGACAGGAGCCAGTATACCTTATCAGCTCCTACAGTGTCATGGCTCAGCACTATATTTGGGAATTGAGGATTGATGTGAAAGAACATCAAGGTGGGCCTAACCTGGCTTGATGTGAATGTGACCTGAGAGAGCATATATTCTGATGTATCCAGCCTGTCTCTATAGAAACAGTCAGCTCTGGTTTCTCACCATGCTGAATTATTTCAAGGTGTAGATAACCACACTTAAGTGAGCCTGAGCTCACTTCTGGACATAAAGGCTTCTGAACATAACGGTATTTCAGAAGGAAGCTTGCTGATGTGTTGGTATATGATTAAGAAACAGTTTAGATAAGCTGTCCATGTGTGATTAACTCTGTTAATTCAGTAAGTTGGCAGAAGGCTTCACGGTTACAAGGTCAGTGGGTTTTTTTACAGCATATGCTGAGGTTGGGATCACATACAACCAGCAACAATTCCTGGAACAGAAAGCTGTTTCATAAGGATGTCTTGGTTTTCCCCCACCCCATAGGACTTCAGCAGTATAACCACTGATTTCTAGTTGAGCTTGATAGGTCAGATTCAGTTTTAGTTGCAATGAGGTTGGGAAGCAGTACTGAATATCTAGTGTCCTATTGTGTAAAGCATGCACAGTTCGACTGCTTGTACAGTAGGACTCTTCGCCCTTCTATTTGCTTTGAGGAATCTTGAGTTGGCAATTGAACACTAGCTTGATTGGGCTGCCTGTGACAAGCTTTTCCTTGTAGTTGCTCATGCAACTTTTGCAATTAGTGTGAATTGAGCATTCAGCTACTTTGCAGTTTCAGAACAAAGCTGCAATAAAACTTGATGCTATCTGAATTCCTCAAAACACAGCCTATTGCTGTTCCATTTTGTGGCTTTTACTTGTTGGTTTTGTTTTGAGATTTTTTATTTTTGTAGTTAAATAGGGTGATTATTCTCTTTAACTCTTCATTTTTTTGTGGCTCCTACAGTTGCTCCTTCCAGTAGTCCTGTGCCATCTTCCAATGTTACTACCACAGCATCTTCCAATGTTACTACCACAGCATCTTCCAATACGACCACAGCATCTTCCAATACTACCACAGCATCTTCCAATACGACCACAGCCAGTCCTGCTACAACAGCTCATACTACTATAGGTAATACAGTGCCTCTGAACATAGAATGACAGTCAGCCTAGGAACTGGTGAATGAAATAAAGGACAAGGCTTTTTCCACAGATCACTGCAGTAACATGACCACCAAACATCTGATGTATGAAATACGTAAATGGTCCCAAGCTTTGGAAGAAGGGAATTTTATAAAGCTATCAGAAAATGCTTCTTTATAATGTAATTAAGCATTGGCTCAGTGGTAATTGCTTAAATTTGATTAGTCATTTCCACATTGTTGTTGCTGTTGTTGCATGTGCTGCCGGGTGAAGAGTGAAGTTTTTAAAAATGTTGGGGTTCGGTTGGTTTGGGGTTTTTTGGGTGTGGGGTTTTTTTGTTTGTTTTTTACAGCATCTGCTTAAGTGAGTTGGTCCTTGATTAGGCTCAGAACAGCCTAAGGTACAGCAGAGTGAGGTTTAGCTTTGAGTAAACCTACAAATGTTGGCACTTCTCCCAGGCACATAGTGGAATACTGATTAAATTTTAGTAGTGCTGATCTGGGGGGGAAGGGGTGGGGTGGTCAGAGACCCAGTGTTCTGGCGTGATAGCTTATAGAGGACAGTCTATCTACAGGTGAGTGTTTGCTTATTTCAGTGGTGTTATTCAGTTAGTGTTTCTGAAGATGGCTGAGGGAGAAAGAGGAAGTTTTGCTATCCTTTAAGTGTTTGTACCTTAAGGTATCCCATTAAGTACTTTTAGTATAATAAACACTAGCTGATTGTGAGGGCTGTTTGATGAAAGTCCTTTGACTTGATGCAGATTATCAGTTGTCTTGAAACAACTGTCTTGATTCTTGTTCAAATGCCAGCCTTTATGTCGGTACTTGAAAGAAAAGTGGGTTTGTCTGAATGAAGAATGAGTGTCTGATCTGTGAAGAACCTTGAAATATTTGGATAACATTGGTATGCAAGTTTGCAAACACCTTGCTAATTGCAAGCTTGAAAAACTTGGCTAAATGCCATGCAGCTGAATATCAAAATTGTGTGGGGTACAGTCTAAGGTCAAAGCTTATGCTTGTTAAAAAAAAAAATACGTGATTTACGTAAGAACTTTGCTCTTGAAGTTTATGGTATGTATATACTGTCTTCTATCAAGCAGGTAATGTTACCAGCGTAACTGCACATCCTCCTGTACCTACAACTGCCATTACTTCAGCTGCCACAACACCCAGTATTCCAGGTAACTGCTACTGCTAGCCTAATTAAAGTGTTAAATACTTAGAAATTAGTGTCACTTTAAAAGTGTCATCTTGAAAGACAGCTGTCAACATTAAAGTAGTATTGATATATCTGCTGTCCTCACTTTGAACTTTATGCCATGTCTGTAATTTAAAGGAGATGTATGTATGTAGCAAGGTAGAACTCTGAGAAACAGCTTTTTGGTGAGATATTAAAAGTCAGATGTGTTGGTCAAATTAAATGAGCTGGCTGGTTTTAATAGTGTGGCTGGAAGTCACTTGTTAACTCACTTGTGTTTGGGATGTGGCATTTTGTTTTTCGCTTCAGCATAATAATGATGGAAATAAGCTGAAGTATTTTATTTCTGCATCAGTCCTGAATATGCAATTTCATGAAGAGCTCTCATGAAGTAAAGCTCTTTAAAACCACCCATCAGCAGATGCGTTACTTCCAAATCCGTATATGTTGTGGCTTCAGCTAATTTCTTTAAGCTAGATTCTTGTCTAGTAGATGGAAGATAGTAATTGAATTTAAACATGAAATTGGAGCAAGCAGCAGAGATTGGAAAATGTGTTTCAAATCTGGGTATATCAATAACATATTTCTGTGTAAAGGAGGAAAGATTCTGCTTTTTGAAGTACAGAAAGTCCATGTGGGACTTGCTCAGTATTGAGGTCCAGAGCAGTGCAACTATAAATAGTTCTAGCCTTTTACAAACAGTATTTAATCAGAATTTCAGTATCACTGTTCTAAATGTAGCTGTTGACATGTCTTTATTTTTTGTTTGTTTCCTTATTGGTATTTGATACAGTGAGTAATCCTGATACCAGGAAGCCAGTACTAGAACCTGGAAGGCTATTGTGAGCATTGTGCACTTACAAACCCTTAATGTCGTATTTAACAGGTACAAATGCTACTGTGACTCCTGCACCTTCTCCACGCAAATCTACTTTTGATGCTGCGAGTTTCATAGGTGGAATTGTCCTTGTTCTGGGTCTGCAGGCTGTTGTTTTCTTTCTGTACAAATTCTGCAAGTCAAAAGACCGAAACTACCACACACTTTAGGACCTGCCACTTTGTAATGGACTTGTAGCCCAACACCTGTAGTTCACTGAACCAAAATATTTTCTGTTGCTCATGGAAGACAGCAGTTCATAATATCCTTTAAATCTCTAAAAGAAGACTTTAAAAGAATATTTTTGCAACATTATACTTGGCAAGATGTGACATTAATCTCTTCAACAGGAGTACTTGGAATATGCTGCATGGGTTCTAATGGCTGTCTTATTTTCCTTTAGTGGCTGCTGATGTGGGACTTTTTTTTTTATACGCCAAATGTAGACATTCAGAGATTCTTATTCAGTGGCAACACTGTCTTGAGTAGATAATCTTGTGATGACTTGTGAAGGCTAATTTAATCAACATTTGATACAGTATCCCTTCAGCTTTGTCAAGATGTGAATTACTGGTGACTGACTTCAGGGAGTGAAATACCATTTATACTAGCGTATGGCTCTTAAAGCGTGCTGCTAGAAAGATAAACTAAATCGTAGAAGTAGGTGATGTCTTAACAGAATCACATAACTTTTTCCCTTTTTTTTTTTTTTATACACAAGAATAAAGGTTGCCTGTTAAAAACTGCATTCCAAACATATCCTACACCCTTTTCAATTATGTTGCAGGTGGAGAGGGGATGTGAGGATAATCCTTTTAAAGGGGAAATGAAGATTAGTGCCTTAAAAGAGTAAACAAAAGGCTGCAAAAATGTCCCACTTATCTCAAAGACAGATAAAGCTATTAAATACTAGCTTAAATTAGGATAATGGAATACATGGGACTTGAGCATTCCAGTTTGAAAACGTTTTACACTAAGTAACTGTCCCCTATTGACCTTGTGAGGGTGGAGAAGCACGATACAGTAACATTCACCTATGGACAGAAAATTTGTTTACCTTTTGTTCTGGCCTACAAACCATAGAACTAGTGATAAAATTAAGTTCACTCCCTGTATAAGAAGGTAACAACTTAGATTTATACTTGAAATACTGGTGTTTGGAAAATCCTGGGAATTTTCTTATTCAAACAGTTCCTGGACTCATTGCAATTAATTTCAAGGTTTGGGTGGTTTGTTTCTCTTTACCCTTCGGTATGTCTGCTTGCTGAAGGAGCAGTTAAGTGTAATGCAGAGGATCTGCTGATTTGATCCTAGTCAGGATTGCTGTAGTCCTGGGATTCCCAGGGCTACACCTTTTTACTTTCCCCCTCCACCCTTCCTGGCATCGGATTGGTGTCACCCTCCAGTGAACTGGTTAAGCAAATCTATTTGGCCAAATAGTGTGGTGGTGTTGTTTTTTTTTTACGTTGGCTGGATCAGCCACTGTGATCTGGGTATCAAAGGTACGTCCTTTCCAGTGACTTGAGCATTTGTGAAAGTAAACCCACAGGAAGAATGGAAGTAAAGATGAAATTCAGGTGGTGGATGTAGCACATAATACGTAGTTTTTGATGATATACTTTGATCATCAATTTCAGGATAACCTGTAGTACTGTTAATAGCTCTGACTTGAGTGGAATTTGGCACCCAGTAGAAAATGATGCATTAATGCAGATAATAGTCATGGCAGTGGAGCTTAAATATGAAGCAAATTAAGTGCACTTCAGTTGGAAACTAAAGTGCACAGTGTTGCTTTCTTTTGTTCTTCTAGTTCAAATGGCATTGTTTCTGTTGTGCTGCATAGAAAACTGAAATTGCTACAAAGTTACTCACCAGTACTGTATCTTTGAGTTTATTAGCTTTTGATTTTTCTAAACAAAACTAAGACAATCAGCTCAGGTTTATTAAAACAGCAGAGTGAGCAGCCAGTTTCCAGCAACAGTATGTGTGTGGGTTAGATGGTATATCCTTGGCCTTACTGTGAAATCACTTAATCTGTCCTTTCCTTATCTCAGAACTGTTCTGCTACATTTATTTGTTTAACAAGATATCCATGAGCTTGTATTCTCTGCTTTGCAGTGAGCAAAATAACCTGCTAAATTGTGATAGTTCTTCAGCTCAGCAAAGCAAACTCTATGCCTAGTACATAATTTTTGGAGGCCTCAAAGGGCTATCTTCTGGGTAACTTGCAGAAAATTGCTGCAGAACACTTCATGGCATGGAAGACATTATAAAATACTGCTAAAATGCTTATTCATGAGCTAGGCTGACCCTGATTTAGGTTGCTGATAAAGTCTGCTGGTTAAGCAAACTAAAAATAATTTTAAAAGTGCCTTAAAGTTACTTAATCTTTTGCCTGAAATTTTGTTTAAAAGGGTAGAAGGGATACCTTGCCTTAGTTCCTGATTTTTTTCTTGGTGCCAGCCATTGCTACTTTCCAAGAGTACAGGAAACCCAGGATCTCTGACATGTACAGATGCCAATCTGAAAAACTCAAGCTTGTACGGTATTGATTCAGTCGTGTTTTGGAAGGCCTGCACTACGCACCGCTTGCTTGTTAGCCTTGCCAACAAGGTATGATCCCCAGTTTAGAGTTCTGGATAGGATTGTTTCCCTTTTGGTTGTTTGGGGGGAGGGGGGGGTCTGGGTTATGCATCTTCACCATGTGCTTGGCTGCCTCACTATGATTAGTAATTACTCCTTTGTGAAACATCAGTATGGGCTGATCCGTGCTGTGCACTAGCAAAAAAACCTGAGGTAACAACTTGCAGTTTTTCTTGGCCTTGTGTTTTGAAGTGGAAGGTAGCTCATAGATCTGTAGTTGTATTTGCCCCTACATGAATTTTAGGCACTGAACTGTAGTGACTCTTCAAGTTATCTGGCTTTTTCTTGAAGCCAACTTGTGCAAATATCAAGCTGTTATGAATGTTCTCTGCAAGTGTTGCTGTAAAAGTTTGTATTTTGTCTTCAGTGGAAGAAAACTGAAACAGTTGTAATCACAAAACCAAATTGATAAATAAAAATCTGTTGAACGGAATTTTTCTTGTAAAGTTTAATTTGAGCAGTCCCAGAGGGAACTGTCTGCTGACTTTCTGGAGATAAGAGCCATTTTCCATAGAAACTGAGGAGCACTGTAGGGAAAGAGGGAGAATGAAAGGTTGAAGAATTGTTAGCTCTCCTAAGTAGAGTGTTAACTCTGCATTTGTTACATGCAACAGTACTGATTTAGATTTAGAATAGTCTCCAAAAGAATTCTGTAGTCCATGTTTTCCATGTTTAACCTTGTTTTCCCCTTAAAGCCAAACAGCAAGGCATTTACAAGCAACTTGTAAGGCTTAATTCTCCTCTTTCCAATAGCAGACCTTGTAATAATACTGGATGTTAGCTTGTAAGGTGGAAGAGGGACTGTTGTTCCTGGGAGGCTGTAAATAACCCCTACCTTTTAGCATCTTTTCACATTAAGATCTTTGACCTTAATGAAAAAGGCATTGCTCTGAGCCTTATTTCTTTCCTGATGGCATGAGAAAGAGGAGGATATTTGCTCGGGAGTAACTATGCTTGAAGAGAACAGACCGAGCACAATTCTGTAGTTACAGACTGACTGTAATGATAACTGGCTCTGGGTGAGCTGACTTCAATAGCTTTACATCAAGGCTTTGACACTTTTGTGGGCAGTGAATGTGTCACTAAGTAGTATTGACATAACTTGGTCTCATACAGGAAGCTGAAAAAACTCCAGTGGTGTTTTGGGAAAAGCTGTATGGAAATAGAGGAAACCTGATGTGCTTAAAATTGCTGTGCCTTCCGGAAAAGCATCCATTTACTACATGCAGTCAAGGACTGAATTATATTTTTGTTACAGTGCAGCACTGGAAGCCTCTGAATACTTGTTTATCCCTACAGTACCAGTCTTGATGTTACTGCTGTTCGTTGAAGGCAGTCTTCTTTCTGTAGGTACAGCATTCATTCAGAAATCATCTTTGAATTTTGCTGCATTAAGTGGAGCACTATTTGAAGTGTTTTATCAAGAAGCTGTAATTAGCTGGAGAGAGCCCTTTTTACTGCTGCCATGGTACAGAAGTGCTTCATACTGATGATATTGTTCTACTTCCAAATTGGCATCTGGTTCCTGGAATGTGCTAGAATAACATTTGATGGCTTCTCTAGTGACAGCTGACCTTGGATAGTTATCAATCACCTTGTCCTTCATTTAAGGCATACTTTAAAATGAATGTTATTTGATAACTGATTCCACAGCATTCCGAGTATATTGTGACCTGTTTTGATGTAGCAGCAAGCATAAATGAAATAAAGCTTGTTTCAGTAATGATGTTAATCTTATTCTAGAAATCCCCATTCTCTAAATACTACAGCATTTCTAACTGCAGTTCTTTACTCAGTGTTTAACCAGTGCAATGCTGTTAAAGGTTGCCTGAATTTAACCCAAGTTCTTAAGTTATTTATAAAACAAGTACTGAGGTATTTGATTATTCAGTCCTCACAGGTATGTGGATGATGCTAAAAGGCACAGAGCTGGTATTCTAACACATCAAAAGCTGCAATACATTTTGGCACATCTCTGACAGACACCTTTGAGTCCTTTAATGGCTGGGCTATAAAAGGAAGATTTTTTCCATGCAAGAGAGAGGCACACTTGGTTATGCTGCTTTTTTTTATTATTATTATTTTTATTTTCCTCCTATTCTACTTAGTGTAGCACTGAGCACAGATTTGCCCTTCCCTTTTCTAGGGGATGGGGAGAGAAGGTGCTGGGGAAGGCGGAGATTGGTACTTTTGATGAGTCATCTTCAAACAGGCATCAAGGGTTCAGTGTACAGGCAGCAACCTCTGGGGGTGAGGGCACTGCATTGGCAGGATGTGATGGTTGGGGGGGTGCAATAGGAAAGCAGTTTTAAAAAACCAACCAAAACCCACCAGACCCCATGCTTTTCATCTAAGCACTTAGATGTGCTTTGCACCACCATGTTCTAAGGTAACCACAATAAAAGGAAGCCTTTTAGTTCCAACTGCTGCCCTTCCTGCAGTGTGGTACATTGTCTGCAGGAAGACATGCAGTGCTGCTCTTACTCAGAAAATGATCTGCATCACCCAGTGCTTAAAATGGATTGTCAAGTAACCTGACAGGAGCTGGTATTGAACACTTCATCCAAATATGTTGAAGTACATATGATGCAGCACTGGAATATTGCTGCCTCTCTTATTTGTATATAAAATGGTTTTCTTCGAGCTTGCCAGTTCAGTGGCATTTTCTAAAATGCTCTGGACTGATTAAAAATACATGTGGGTTTACTTCCAGACCAGCCTTTTTTCTATGAAGACAGCAGGAAAAGACTTTTCATTTAGGTGTGGTGATAGCCTATCTGACATTCTTTCCTTCCATCTGCTAGGCACCTGAAAGCATAGGTAACATAAGAATAGTCACCAACCATGGCATGGTAATCAGAAAGAAGAGTCTTTTCCAGATCTTTGCTAACTGAATAGCTCCTCTGCCTGCTTTTCTTAGTTGATTTTTGGAACACTTGGGAGTCATACCTACTTTTCACCCGGCTCTTAAAGATAAATCTCAAGAGGGGTTTGCTATATTGTCCAGATGAAACCTGCCTGGATATATATACAAATCACAGCTTGCAAACCAGTGAGGAATTTGCTTATTTTGCAACCATACCAACTTATTACCAATGCCATCTCTGTCTGCAGTCTTTGAATGTTTCTGGTTTTCCTCTTCTGTTGCTGCTGGTAATCCCCATGTTGAGTGGATGCTGCAAGCTTGTTGCCCTGGGCCTGAGTGGCAGAGCATACTGTGTTATCAACAACACAGAGTTAAAGCAGAACTCAAGTAAATGCAGAAGCTGTTGTTTCTGACCTCCAAGAAGAATGTTAAGATAGAAGAAAACCCAAACAAACTACCCCAAGGAAAAAACAAACACACAGAGAGCAATGCATAGTAGTGATAGAATAATAGGTTGCTTAGTATGGAAAAAGTAGCTCATGGAAGACCTTGACACAAATTAGAACAAAGCCTATTTGCAACTATCCGCAATTTTTACAGCTCATACCATTTCCTTTTAATTCATAGTGGTAAGTGTATCAGCATTTATTCTTCCAGCAGGAGACATCTCAGGGAAGCAGAAACTTCTTGCTGCACCAAGTCTACTTCATTATATGTGATTATTTTTGCCACAACTGTGTCTTTGCAGGTCCTGTTGAAAGCCAAGATTAAAAGGTGTGTGTGGATGGGCGTTAACTATCTGTTCCCAGTGACACTAAATTCCCTAGTGAATTCCAGTCGTTATCTCTGTAGATTTCTGAAAAGCAGAGATGCAGCCACTTAATGCTAAGCCTTCAGCCACTAAAGCAATCCTCATTGTATCAAATGCTATGCTTCCTATTGGCTATAATGTGATTCAACCTCGATTTGTAGCTATGTACAATGTGGTGTTGCTATACCACTTAAACTTACGTTAACCTTTCCCACTAACTTTGGGCAAGGAGGTGAGGGTGTTTCTGCTGTGGACTTGTTAACTGAGACAGTGTTCTTCCTCCTTCCCAGGTACGATAAAAGATGTTTCAGACCACATTGGTTTGCTGTTTCTGGCATTATTTCAGGGTGGATGTCCAAGGGACTCAGGCCTTCTGAAGCAGCAGGAGAGCAGCTGGCAGCTGCCCAGAGCTCAGAACTACCCAGTCTGGTCAGGCTGTGTTCAGCATCCATGAATCCTGAAGCAGAGGCTTGAGAGGGCTGACTACACAAGTGTCACATGAAACTCAGGAAGAAGTGCAGCAACTGAGACAGGTCATGGCCTAGTGCATTAGAGAGGGAAGAAGATGTGAAGATAGAGAAGAAGGAACAGAGAAAAAGATAGAAGACATGGCTCAAACTGCTAATCTACAGCAGTTACAAACTGGCTGAAGTCTTAGTCTGTGGACAGTTCCTGGAGTTGAGATGACCTGTTTCAAAATGACCTCCTTTACAGCCAAACCAGGGCTATTGCAAGTAACAGTTGCCACCCTGACACAGATAGGTCTGAAGTCAGGTACAGTGCAACTCAGATTAATAGATAAGACAAATCTTTACATGATGCAAGTCTGGACTGCTTTATGAGAAGTGCTAGTGCTAATGCATCAAAACTTATACCTATTTAATACTGACTTATTACCTGGAAAATTACTTCTTATACTGCTTGTACTATGGACCAACAGCTCTGCAGTCTTCCTTTCACTTTTTGAAAGGAAAACAAAAATAAAATACCACCAAACCTTCACGGCATCCATCTATTGTTACAGACACAGGAATAAAAAAGAATCACAATACAGAGTTCTAACACTTTTCAGACCAGGTGTTTATATAGTTCAATGGAGTTTCTATGTTAAGCACAGAGAGATCCAAGCTCCTCACCCAATTTTTCCAGCTCTGAGTCATGCTTTACAATGGTAGCCCACTGCAGGGGGGGGGGGGAATCACCTCCTTTCTGTCACAGCCACTTTCCTTGTGCATAGTAGCATCAATGTCACTTAAAAGTTTTGCACCAACTTTTCCCCTGAACTTTATCGGTTTAAAGCAAGAGAAACCAAGTATATTTGTGCATTAATTAAAGATACTTCCCTGTTCTTTATTTCCGCATGTTTGATTCATGTCTTGTCTTCAGCAGTGTGCTAATGAGCATTTCCCTGTTTCCTGTGGCAGGAATAACTAACATTTTCCTGCAGAAGAAAACTATAATTAAATTTGTCATGCTTTATATTCTTCATGGTACCTTGAAAGACCATTGGGGTTTTTCATGTTTATTCCATTTACTAGGAATTTAGGTATCACCCATCAATTTTTCTTGCATGCGTTTGTCAGACTGACAGTAGGATTTGGTAACACAGAGAGGAGCAGCAACTTACGGCAGGTAGAAGTAGAAATCCCTAATCAAGCTTTTTTAAGCTACATGAATTATGTAAGCATTGTGTTAAAAAGTTACCTAACAAACATCTGAGATGAAAGATTTTTGCTAAATGTTTAACTTCTGGGTTAATTCAATTAAGGGCTAGGAAGCTCTCACTGCTGCTATGAGGTCCTCTAAAAAATGCCTGCAATCATAGGCATGCACCTAGGCAAATTACAAGGGCACAGTTTTGCTTGGTTTCCCCACATAATCTGTAATTAAGGTGTTCCAAAACCATTGATACCTGATGTCCTGCAACTTGGGATCCTTTATTTACTTTTATTTGCCCCCTCCCCTGCATGCAGCTCCCCTCATATTTCCCCATTACATCCCTACAGTGCAAAAGACAACACAGGTTATGGTTTGAAGTCACTAACTTGGAAGTCAGTGTTTCCTGTGCTGCTTGAGCAGCTGTGGTGCAAGAAGCCATATGGCTTTTGAGTTGACTTAAAACAGCTTGAGGAAAAGTCAGACTTTCTCCTCTACCTAAATGCTTTCATTACAGAGGACATATTCTCTTTCCTACTTGGCTTAAGTTTCCTATTGCTTCAAAGCTTAAGGAGGGATTCGGAAACATGGACACATTGCTCATTAAGGCTTATTTCCCCAAGAAAGCGAGTTACAACATGCAACCTGTCTTTACCTGCAGTCACATTCCCCTGGGAAACTGCAGCTTCCAGGTTATAATAAACTTGACACTGCAGCTCATCAGCCTGCTGGAAGGCCTCCCATTTTAAACTGCATTCTTGGGTTAACCAGCCTCTTACATAAAACATGGTAAAATGATTAATGACAGCAACAAAAATTCATCATCTGAGAGCTCTGCTTCAGAGCAGGAGTCCAGATTTAAAGGAAAAAGATGTTATTACCCTATGTGCTCTTGTGAATGAGAGGCCATCAGTACTTGCTGCTTGAAATAATCTGTAATCACAGCTTTGCTAAACGTATCCATAATCCCTCTGAATACAAAATACACCACAAACAGTGCAAATTCTCATTACTGTTTAATAGGAATCTGCATTTCAGGCATACTGAAGGAAGTCAAAAGCAATACAGAGGCCTTTACTCACAATTCTCTGCATGTAACTGATTAGACAAGACCCTACCTCCATTTTCAGGGCAGAGGTATGTGGGAACACCAGCAGCTCTTCCCACATCTCTCCCACAGACTCTGTAATTTGCTAAGTTTAAACATAAAGTTAGTTAGCGGTAATGACCATGTAGTGCTAGCTGCAGCTGGGGCTGCTGTGTGGCAATAAAAGCCTGTACACTGCAGCTGCCATTTTCATTCTGCTCTCCTCAAAGGCTGATCCAGCTGTTGACATCTCTGATCTCTCGAAGGGTTATTTTGTAAACACAGCAAAACAGTTCAGAGCCCCATCA